TGGGTATGTCAGCTATATCCAATGAAGCACCTTTCCACTAACTGATGCCCCCATTGGAAGGGGTCTAACTGTGACGGTTCCATTCAGGGCTTCCTCAAGAACATTGGCTGAAATTGTAGTCTTGATTGGGACACCAAGCTTACTACATATATATATATATATATATATAGTCAAAGAGGGAAAAGGAAGACACCAAAAGAAATTTAGAAATAACTGAATATGAATGCATGAGAGCTGCAACACTTCAACTAAATTGCAACCTGAACAAAGCTGCAAACATTGTATTAACTGTTCCCAGATTAGACAAATCAATCTCCATATCCATGGAATCTTCAACAGCCTGATTTATCAAGAAAGCAAAAGGTATTAGTGAGGAAAGAAATACAAATCTAACAACAGAATTCGGATCTTGCAACAATTTCAGTTAGTGAGGATTGCTTCTCAAGACCAAAGGATATACCCTATAAGTTAATAAATGCATGCGCTTGTTGGGCAGATTTTGATGTTTGCCAGGTATACAATGCAGAGAGATTTTGAAGGTAATGGAGAGTGAAATGCAGAGAGATTGATCAGAATGGAGGGAGGTGAACCACACCTGGGTGGTAAACATGATGCAAGAAGCAAAGCGATACACTCTATGAAGAAATAGTAAAGAATGAGAAAAGGTAATACAACCATTTTGCTCCTATCTACCCTTTTGTTAACTAACTACCAACCACATAAACTTTTGATCCATGAGACAGTTCAATCTCTGCATCAATGTTTAGCTTTATTTGGAAACCTTCATTTCCACACTGATATTCACAGTTAAAACTTCTATTTGTCATAAGACCTAAAGTGATGGCCATTGCATCAATTTCACGGAAGAACTCTTAATTTCTCAACAAGAAAATGACACTCCAGTAAAGATACATGCAAAAGAGTTGATGTAGCAATAAAATGAGTTCCAGAAAAGCAACCCATAAAAAGTTGTTATGTTTCTTTGTTATGACAAGCAAGCAGAATCAGAAAGTGACAAATTAACCCCCCAATTGAGTTATAACAAAATTTAAGGAAGAAAAAGGAAAGCACCTCAGAAATATACATTCCAGTGTTTCCTTATTTACAAGATGCAAAGACAATATAAGAAATAGCACAAAACTAGATCCATACAGAATAAAGAAAAAAGTGAAAGAGAATCGAATACACCTCAAACCCAGCGCTGTCATATTGCCTTCTCTTCTCTGGATCAGATAAAATGCTATAAGAATATGCAACCTCCTTAAAAAGCTCTGAAGCTTCAGGATTGCTTCCGTTCTTATCAGGATGATACCTTTCCAAGAAAACAAAAAACAGGTTACATGGTCAAAACTGATTACAGTGGAGTTCATAAAAATAAGCAAGCATTTGATTTTTCCATGTAAAATAAATGCCTTTATCATAATTTCCATACATTTGGAAGGTATATCTCCATAATCATAATGGAGATCAAGCATTAAACTGATGGTACAGAACTGGTCAACAAAGTTCATCTATCATTAAAATGCCTACTGTTACTTTAGTTTGTGGACAAGTTCCATTAATCTACAATCTATATATCAAATTTGTGCAAAGATTATACAAAAAAACCAAGAAACATTATGCTTGTTCAGAATTTTCATGGTAAGTGGTGCATCTTTATTCAATATTTGGACTTGGATAGTTGGCACACCTAAATGAATTGATGAAAGATCAATGCAATGACACTGTCTCGCATAAGTACTAATGACATTAACTTTCCCAATCCTTTCCTTCCCTCATGAACAAGCTGTCTTCTGTTCTAATCCTCGCATTATCATTCTATCACACAATTGTTTAATGAACCTGGAGGTTGATAATTTTAACTTCATCATACCAAGAAAACATTGCAATTACCTCCTGATAAACCCTAATGAATTAGATTTCACATCAGCTGTTGAATCGTTTAAAGTTTAAAAGTTTACTCTCCCAGAGACCCAAGAGGAATTCACATTGCGTACACTCAAACTCGTACCAGCACCCTCATTGAGCTAAAATTAAGCAACAACCTAAACTTAATGCACCAATTCTACCATCAAGAACATTTTCTTTTCGAAAGGGATCCATATTGCGTACCCTCAAACTCACACCAATAACCTTACTGAGCTAACATTGAGCATCTACATTAGCCGAATGCACAAATTGCTACCATCAAGAACCTCTTCCTTTCAAAATGAAATAGAATTGCAATCATGAATTTTGACTAAACATAATCAACGATACCCTTAAGCTAAAAAAAAAAGGCAAACAAAAGTTGCAAAACACTGGAAAACAAACAAAATTATCGAAACTATAACTTACTTAAGAGCTAGCTTCCTGTACGCAGTTTTGATCTCTTGATCAGTGGAATCCCTGGAGACGCATAATACTTCATATGGGTCTCGACGAATTGTAGGAGCAGAAGGTCCTTCCATCTTCTTGGAATGCATCTTCCACTCTATGCCAACAAACTCTTCGTTTCAAGAGTTGGAAGGTCAATGTTATGGGGGAAAATGAAGCAGAGCAGAAGCAATCGCAAGAAATCTGGACGTCTACCTGCAGATTGAGGGGGAGATGAAGATCAAGATTTTCAAACAAAAAATTCACACAATTCAATGCGGTATTGGATCGCTCTTTTCCTCTGGGGAAAAGGGAAAGGGGAACAGTATTAAATATTCAAATACAAAGAGGATGGAAGAAAAGCTAAAAGATCGAAGTGTAATCAGGAGAAAGAGCTCAATTTACAGGGATTTAAAAATATGGAAAGCTAGGGTTCCATTTGAAATTT